TTGAACTGCAGGCTCTGCCAGCCAGGAAGGGAAGCGGCGAGCTGGAGCGCCGGCAGCTGTCTCGGGAAAAAAAAGGAAGGAAGCGCCGAGCCGTTTCGGAGGCGGGTGGAAGAGGCAGCCACCCCCCCCCCCTGCTCCCCGGGAAGGGGATTAGCTACCTTCTCGCCCCCCCCCCCCGGACTGCGGCCAGGGGTTCCCCAATCCCCTCTCCCCCCCCCGGGAGAGGGGCTGGCTGGGTGGAGAGGAAAGGAAGGGGGGCCTGGAGAGACACCCCCCCAAAAAAAAGAACGGCTGCAAAGTAGCGGCTCCGAAGTGCTGCAACGGCCGCGGAGATGCCTGGAGCCCTCGCGGAGAGAAGCGATGGGGGACTTCGGCCAAAAGTCCTCCGGTGTGGAAGGTGCCCGCGGATTTGTTTTCTACCGGGCGGCTCTCCCGAGGAGAGGAGAGCGGGTGGGGGAGCTCTCCAGCCTTCCCCCCCCTTCCAGACCCACAAGTTTCCCGTCCCCTTTCGCCCCCAAACACTCAGGAGTTCGGCTTTCTTGCCCTGCAATCACCACCTTCACCCACCCAGCCCGGGCGTCTCTTTGGCCCCCGTCCCCCCCCTCGCCAATTCGCCAGCTGGAAAAGTGAAAGCAAGCCCGGAAGGAGCGGCGCCAACCTTGCAAAGCCAGCGAGCGTACGCCAAGCGCCCACGCGCGATTCTACCTCTCCCCCCCCCCTAAAAAAAAGGAAGGAAGGAGAAGAGAGAGAGAATGGAGGAAGGAAGGAAGAAGGGGAAGGAAAGAAGGAGAAGAAAGAGAAGGGAAGGAAGGAAGGAGAAAGAGAAGGGAAGGAAGGAAGGAAAGAAGGAAGGAAGGAAAGGAGGAAGGAAGGAGGGAGAAAGAAGGGAAGGGAGGACGGAAGGAAAGGAGGAAGGAAAGAGAAAGAAGGGAAGGAAGGAAGGAGAAAGAAGGGAAGGAAGGAAGGAAAGGAGGAAGGAAGGAGGGAGAAAGAAGGGAAGGGAGGACGGAAGGAAAGGAGGAAGGAAAGAGAAAGAAGGGAAGGAAGGAAGGAGAAAGAAGGGAAGGAAGGAAGGAAGGAAAGGAGGAAGGAAGGAAGGAGAAAGAGAAGGGAAGGGAGGAAGGAAGGAAGAAGAAAGGGAAGAAAGGAAGGAAAGGAGAATGGGGAAGGAAAGGAGGAAGGAGTAAAGAAGGAAATTACCGCTTTCTTTCCTAGGGCTCCCCGCGCTGCCCCCCTTTCTGCGGTGTGGGGGGTGGAGGGTCATTTCTCCCCCCACCCCCGCCGCCACTGCGAGGACAGAGAGCGAGAGAGACCCTGCCAATCCGCCTCCGGAGCTGGAACGAGGCCTCTCCGGGTAAACCGGGAGTGGGACCCGCTCTCCCCCTGACCCCCCCCCCAGCCGCAACCTGTCGCCGGAGGGTAAACGGGAAAGCTTGTATAGAGCGCAAAGCTCGGCGCCTCTTAACTCCGCCCCTCCCTCTCTGCTGAGTCCGCCTGCCCGGGCTTCTCTGCTGCAGGAGCCCAGGCGCTGAGTTGGGTTTTTTCTTCTTCTTCTTTTTTTCCTTTTCTCGGCCGTTTCTCCGCCACTCGGGGCCAAAACTTGCGCGTCTGCTGCCTCCTTCCTTCCCTTCCCTTCTTCCTTCCTTCCCTTCTCTTCTTCCTTCCTCCCCTTCCTCCATCCCTTCCCTCCTTCCTTCTCTTTCTTCTCTTTCCTTCCCTTCCTCCTTCCCTTCCTTCCTTCCTCTTCTTCCTTCCCTCCTTCCTTTTCTTCCTTCCTTCCTTCCTTCCTCCCCTTCTTCCATCCCTTCCGTCCTTCCTTCCCTTCTCTTTCTTCTCTTCCCTTCCCTCCTTCCTTCCTCTTCTTCCTTCCCTTCCCTTCTTCCTTTCCTCCTTCCTTCCTCCCCTTCCTCCATCCCTTCCCTCCTTCCTTCTCTTTCTTCTCCTTCCTTCCCTTCCTTCCTTCCCTTCCTTCCTTCCCTTCCTCCATCCCTTCCCTCCTTCCTTCCTTTCTCTTTTTTCTCCTTCCTTCCCTTCCCTCCTTCCTTCCTTCCTCTTCTTCCTTCCTTCCCTTCCCTTCTTCCTTCCCTTCCCTTCCCTCCTTCCCTTCTCTTCTTCCTTCCCTCCTTCCTCCCCTTCCTCCATCCCTTCCATCCTTCCTTCCCTTCTTTCTTCTCTTCCCTTCCCTCCTTTCTTCCTCTTCTTCCTTCCCTTCCCTTCTTCCTTTCCTCCTTCCTTCCTCCCCTTCCTCCATCCCTTCCCTCCTTCCTTCCTTTCTCTTTCTTCTCCTTCCTTCCTTCCTACCGCGGCCCTTGGCCAAGCGTCAACCTCTCTCTCTCTCTCTCTCTCTGTGTGAGTGTTTGGGGAAAAAAACGGGGGAGGGAGGGGCGCCCCCGAGCTCTCTTGCAGCAACCAGCCGCGCTTGAGCGAGACGAGCCGGTGGGGGGGGGGAACGAGAGGGGGGGGGGCTCGCTCGACAAACAAACACAATTGCGGAGCTCCGCCGGAGAAGGGAAACTACGGACTCGGCTCGCTTTTCATTCACAAATTAGTACGACTCTGCCTGGATTACTCCCACAAAGCTAATCCGCCGCAGCCTTTCGGATCTCAGTGATTTTGGGGGGGGTTTATACCCCCCTTCTCTCTCTCTCTCTCTCTCTCTCTCTCTCTCTTCACCCCCTCCCCTCCAAGTTCCATAATTACGGATGCAATTAAGCACCGGTGGTGCCATTCACGTGGGAAGCAGCTTCGCTTACATCCCTTCTTCCCCCGGTTCGATTCCCTTCTAAGCTTAGCTATTTATGCGCTATATTAAAGAAGGGGGATGTTTTTTTGGGGGGGGTCCTAGATAATCGCCTTTGTCGCAAGCACCCCTCTCACACACACACACACACACACACACATATCTCCCTAACCTTTGAACGGGAGTGGGGGGGGAAGGCGGGAAGTGAACTTGAATGCCGGTTTACCTGCATTGGGACAGCAAGGGACAAAACGGCGAGTCTGCAGTTCGCTTTTTATGAATCCGCTCTCCAGGCGCTGCAGCCGCCGCCGCCGCCGCCACCGAGTCCTCTGACACAACGCAGGTAAGAGCGGGGGAAAACACACACACACACACACACACACACACAACGCAAGCACGCAAACACGCGCGCGCAGACACACACACACACACACACACACACACACACACAGACACACAAGCTGCGGGAGGCGAGAGCAAAGTTGCAACGCCTGACCGAGCCAGGCGGAGAAAAATCTAGCTTTTATTATTATTTTTTTTCTTCTTCTTCTTCTTTCCCCTCCTCCCAACATCCCCAGCTCCATTTACGGTTCTGGCCGAATCTATCTGGCAAGCTTTTGGGCACCGTCTCGCTTTGTGACTAATGACCTTGCGCAGAGTTGTGGGTTGGTTGTGCTTCCTCCCTCCCTCCCTCTTTCCTCCCTCGCTCATTTTCTTTGGGGGGGAGGGGGAGGGGAAGGGGAGGAGGAGGAACCTCTTTTAAGGAGAAGGAGTGCAGCGTCCGAAAAATTGGATTTTTGGGGGGGGGGATGGGGTGGGGAACCAAAACGGGATGGCTCCGGAGCTGCTCCGTAAACCAAGAACACTCTTCTCTCCCCCCCTCCCTCAAATACATAAATAGCTTCAGCTGTCAGCCCCGGAGGCGGTAGATTTGCTTGGGTTCTCCGGAGGCTTAAAAAAGAAAAAGAAAAAAAAATCACCTAGCACTATCTATTCTAGCGCTAAGAGAGAGAAAGAGACACACACAGACAGAGAAAGAGAGAGAGACTGGGGGCTGCTGCGCCCTCCCGCCTCCTTTTTCCGCCGGACCCCAGCGCTGTTTGAATGAAGCGATTGACTTCCCCCCCCCCACCGCCCTCTCTCTCTTTCTCTCTCTCTCTCTCCCTCCCTCCCTCCCTCCCCCTCCCTCCCTCCCTCCCTCTCTCTCTCTCTCTCTCTCTCTCTCTCTCTCTCTCCCCCCCCAGCCTTTTTGTGCCGAGCGGCGGAGAGGCGAGAGCTAACACCTCGGCGCAGAGCGAGAGAGTCAAGCCGGGAGACAGGCAGAGAGAGAAAGAGAGAGAAAGAGAGAGGGAGAAGTGAATTGAACTAGAGAAGAGGAAAGGGAGAGGAGAGGAGAAGAGAAGAGAGGAGAGAGAGAGAGAGAAAGAAAGAGAGAAGGTGGGGAGAGCGGCAAAGCGAAGCCGGATTCTGATTTTTTTTTTTTTTCCCCCTGCTGTCGTACCTCTGGCTTTTTTTCTCTCTCTCGCCAACCTTGCGAAGTGATTCCAGCGCCGTTGGAGGAGGAGGAGGAAGAGGAGGAGGAGCGGGAGAGGAGGAGGCGGCGGCTAAGGAGGAGGAGGGGGGCGGAAATCCTCCCCAACCTATCTGCGGAGATGCAGCTTTTTTGAAAAAAGCCAAGCCACACATTTGCCCCGTGAACTGTGAGGAGAGAGCAACTGCAGAAGGCAGGAGAGGAGGAGAAGGCGAGGAGGGTGCACGGAGAGCCTCCGGTCAAACCAGGCTCTCTGCTTCTCTTCCCCCCCCCCAACCCCCGCACCCCAATCTCTCTCTCTCACTCACTCACTCACACACACACACACACACAGAGAGACGCGCCATCCCGGCTTCTTCTGATTTTTTTTCTCCACCTATTGCACCAAAGAGGATGGGAAACGCGAAGTTTTTTTTGCCCGAGCCGGCAAGGATTTTATAATTGAACTTCAGCCCGACCACCGAGGCTTGCTTTTTTTCTTTTTTTCTTTTTTTTCTCCCCCCCCCCCCACCTTCTCTCTCTCTTTCTCTCTCTGCCTCTCGGCTGGCCGAGCAGCAGCAGCAGAGGGATTGGGAAGGGTGGCAAAGAAGAGAGGACGAGGAAAGACCGTTTTTGTTTTTTTTGTGTGTGTTTTTTGCCTCGCAGGGCTGCTTGGGGGGGCAAGGTGGTAGTCTTTGGCCGGAGAAGGGGACAGCCTGTCCGTGGAGGGGGGGTGGGGGGGTGGGCTGGCCTGGGGGCGTCCTGCAAGCGGTGGAAGATGCCGGCGCTTCTGGGTTTGGTGCAATCGCGCTCCTACTACTCCTACTACTACTGCTGCTACTGCTGCTGGATTCTGCTGCTTTTGCCTCCGCCGTTTTGGCTCAGCCTGGCGGCGGCTAAACAAGTGCTGAGATACCGCTTGGCGGAGGAAGGGCCGGCCGATATTCGGATCGGGAACGTGGCTTCGGACCTGGGCATCGTCACCGGCTCGGGCGAGGTGACGTTCAGCTTGGAATCGGGCTCGGAGTATTTGAAAATCGACAACATGACGGGCCAGCTGAGCACCACGGAGCGGCGCATCGACCGCGAGAAGCTGCCGCAGTGTCAAATGATCTTCGACGAGAACGAGTGCTTTCTGGACTTCGAGGTGTCGGTCATCGGGCCCTCGCAGAGCTGGGTCGACCTCTTCGAAGGCCGGGTCGTCATCCTGGACATCAACGACAACACGCCGACGTTCCCATCCCCGGTGCTGACCCTCACCGTCGAGGAGAACCGCCCGGTGGGGACCCTCTACCTGCTCCCCACCGCCACCGACCGCGACTTCGGGCGCAACGGCATCGACCGCTACGAACTGCTGCAGGAGCCCGGGGGGGAGGCCGGCAGGCGCGGCGCGGGGGCCACGGTGGCAGCTGCAGCCGCCTCCGCCGCTGCTTCCGACGGGGCCCTGTATCCCGGTGGCAAGAGGAGGCAGGAGCCCGACGGCCCGGCTCGGAGCAGCGTCTTCGAGCTGCAGGTGGCCGACACCCCCGACGGGGAGAAGCAGCCCCAGCTGATCGTCAAAGGGGCTCTGGATCGCGAGCAGAGGGACTCCTACGAGCTGAGCCTGCGGGTGCGGGACGGCGGGGAGCCGGCGCGCTCCTCGCAGGCCATCCTCCGCGTCCTGATCACCGACGTGAACGACAACAGCCCCCGCTTCGAGAAGAGCGTCTACGAGGCGGATCTGGCCGAGAACAGCAGCCCGGGCACGCCGATCCTGCAGCTGCGGGCCGCCGACTCCGACGCCGGGGTGAACGGGCAGATCGAGTACGTCTTCGGGGCGGCCACCGAGTCGGTCAGGCGCCTGCTCCGCCTGGACGAGTCGTCGGGCTGGCTCAGCGTCCTGCACCGCATCGACCGCGAGGAGGTGAGCCAGCTGCGCTTCACCGTCCTGGCCCGCGACCGCGGCCAGCCGCCCAAGAACGACAAGGCCACGGTGGCGCTGACCATCCGCGACGAGAACGACAACGTGCCCACCATCGACATCCGTAAGATCGGGCGCATCCCGCTCCGCGACGGGGTGGCCAGCGTGGCCGAAGACGTGCTGGTGGACACCCCCATCGCCCTGGTGCAGGTCTCGGACCGCGACGAAGGGGAGAACGGCGTGGTGACCTGCACCGTGGTGGGCGACGTGCCCTTCCAGCTCAAGCCGGCCAGCGAGGGGGAGGGCGAGGCGCAGAACAAGCGCAAGTACTTCCTCCACACCTCGGCCCCGTTGGACTACGAGGCCTTGCGGGATTACAACGTGGTCATCGTGGCCGTCGACTCCGGCAGCCCCAGCCTGTCCAGCAACAACTCGCTGCTGGTCCGGGTGGCCGACACCAACGACAACCCGCCCGTCTTCAGCCAGCCCGTCCTGGAGGTGCCCTTTCCGGAGAACAACGCCCCGGGCGAGCGGGTGGCCACCGTGCTGGCTACCGACGCGGACAGCGGCAAGAACGCCGAGCTGGCTTACTCTCTGGAGCCCTCGCCTTTGGCGGCCGAGACGCCCTTGGGGCTATTCACCATCGACCCGGATTCGGGCGACTTGCGGGTCCAGGCGGTGCTGGATCGCGAGCAGCGGGACACTTACGAGTTCCAAGTCACGGCCCGGGACAAGGGGGTGCCTTCTTTGCAGGGCTCGGCCCTGGTGGTGGTGCGGGTGGCCGACCGCAACGACAACGAGCCCCGCTTCATGCAGGACGTCTTCACCTTCTACGTCAAGGAGAACCTGCAACCCAACAGCCCGGTGGGCATGGTGACGGTGATGGATGCCGACCAAGGGCGCAACGCTCAGCTCAGCTTGGCCATCCAGCCCGGGGGCGCGCAAGAAGCGGGCCAGGGCACCCCCTCGGACCCGAGCATCTTCTCCATCGAGAACGACACGGGCACCATCTACTCCACCGTCTCCTTCGACCGGGAGTTGCAAACCAGCTACACCTTCCGCGTCAAGGCGGTGGACGGAGGCGAGCCGGCTCTCTCGGCCACGGCCACCGTCTCGCTCTTCGTCATGGACGAGAACGACAACGCGCCGGCCGTCACCTCGCCCGCCAACAGCTCCTACACCGTCCTGCCTCCTTCCAGCAGCCCGCGCTCCGTGGTGGCGGCCGTGCAAGCCCGAGACGCCGACGCGGGCCAGAACGCCGAGCTCAGCTACAGTTTGGTGGGCGGCAACCCCTTCAAACTCTTCGAGATCGACCCGGCCAGCGGGGTGGTCTCGCTGGTGGCCAAGCTGGCCCCCAAGCACTACGGCTTGCACCGCCTGGTGGTGCAGGTCAACGACAGCGGCCAGCCGCCTCAAGCCACCACGGCTCTGCTCCACGTCTTCGTCAACGAGAGCTTGGCCAACGCCAGCGCGGTGGAGAGCCAAGTGGCCCGCAGCTTGCACACGCCCCTGGGCCGGGACATCGCGGGCGACCCCAGCTACGAGCTGAGCAAGCAGCGGCTGAGCATCGTGGTGGGCGTGGTGGCCGGCGTGATGGCCGTGCTGCTGCTGATCCTGGTGGTGGTCCTGGCTCGCTACTGCCGCTCCAAGGGCAAGCACGGCGGCTACGAGGCGGGCAAGAAGGACCAGGCGGACTTCTTCACCCCGCAGCCCCACGACAAAGCCAAGAAGCCCAAGAAGGACCGCAAGGGCAAGAAAGGGGGAGGGGGCAAGCAGCCCCTCTACAGCAGCATCGTCACCGTCGAGGCTTCCAAGCCCAACGGGCAGCGCTACGACAGCGTGCACGAGAAACTGTCGGCCGCCGGCAGCCCGGCTTTAAGCCGCTACCGCTCCGTCAACGGAGGGCCCGGCAGTCCGGATTTGGCCCGGCATTATAAATCCAGCTCGCCTTTGCCCACCGTCCAGCTTCACCCCCAGTCGCCCACCGCCGGGAAAAAGCACCAGGCGGTGCAGGACCTGCCGCCGGCCAACACCTTCGTGGGGGCGGGGGACAACATCTCCATCGGGTCGGACCACTGCTCCGAGTACAGCTGTCAGGCCAGTAGCAAGTACAGCAAGCAGGTAAGAAGACTCTTTTCTTCCCTCCCCCCCCCCATGTTTCCCAGGCTTTTCAGGCTCAGCCCCGAACTCTGCAGGAAACCTGCCCCTCCCCCTCCCGCCTATTTCCCCCCTCCCCCCAGTGTTTGGCAGCCTCTCACCGGTAGGACCTAATAGTAATTGGTTCGAGGCTGTGTGTGTGTAGGTTATGGTAGCTGTTGGGTTTATCTAGCTTTCCTGTGGCTTGGGCAGGTGTTTAAGGAGAGCAGAATTTGCAGCCTGAAATGAGGTAGGGGTTCAAGGAGAGCAGAATTTGCATCCTGAATGGGGCAGGGGTTCTAGGAGAACAGAATTTGCACCCTGAATGGGGCAGGGGTTCAGGGAGAGCAGAATTTGCACCCTGAAGGGTAGGGGTCCAAGGAGAGCACAATTAGCACCCTGAATGAGGCAGGGGTTCAGGGAGAGCAGAATTTGCACCCTGAATGGGGCAGGGGTTCCAGGAGAGCAGAATTTGCACCCTGAATGGGGCAGGGGTCCAAGGAGAGCAGAATTTGCACCCTGAATGAGGCAGGGGTTCCAGGAGAGCAGAATTTGCACCCTGAACGGGGCAGGGATTCAAGGAGACTTCCATTTGCCCCATGGAGGTGTCTGCATGGTTGGGTGGCTGCAGAGGATGGCCAATGGATGGATGAAGCTGGACCCAGGGCATCCCTAGGCTACAAGACCCAGAGCCTGGCATCCCAGCCCAGGGAGCCTTGGGTTGCCCGATCCACACACAAACCCACACCAAATCATTCCTCTCCTCCTTGTTGCAGGTTCCCCCCCCCCCACGTCCTGTTTACTTTCAGCCACATACCTGTGTCCAGCAGGGATAGGCTGAGTTTGACTCCTTATTATCTGGGGTAATTGCTATTTGAGGGACCCACATCCCGAAGGCATGTTGTGGGAAAGCTGGCCTGCATCTACCAGCAAGGGAACAGCTTGATTTGCACTACTGGTTGGACCTGTTTGGGAGTAGAGGGAGCTGATTGGAGGAAGGAAGGCGGAAGCAACCTGGCTTGATTAACCATAGTTAAGGGAACGACAGCTGTGGGCAAAGGAGTCATCTGCCTTACTGCAGGCAGGCCAGGCCCGCGTCTCCCTCCCATTCCTGTTACACCTGTTGTGTGGGGGGCTGAGGAGTGGTACCTGGGAGGTGAAGATAGGATCCTTCACCCTCCCTCCCCCCCAGGTACCATTCCTCAGGCCCCATACAACTCCCTGCCTTTGTGCAACTAATACATTTAGTACAATGCCTTGTGTCAAGAGCCTTGTCTATCTTCCTAGTCCTCTTTTTCACAGGGGAGACTTAAGTGGTTCTTAGCTGCACCTGGCTTAAAGTAATATCTCCTGCTTTCTTCTGATACTGTCCAAGGACAGTCTCCTGGTGTTTAAATCCTTTTTGTCCCTGTCACAGTGATCATGGAGGGAGGCTGGGGTGGGCAAGAAACAGAGGCAATATAGATGTACCTTTAAGTGACTTTAGGAAGGCGTGAATAAATCTGTAACTTAAGCAGTGGAGAAAAGATCCTTAATCAGGCAGATCCGCAAGCAGCTGACCTTATTGTATTTTGGTATCCCCCATATCATATTTCTCCAGTTTTTGACCCGGCATTCAGAGTTGAGATCTCTTCAGTTTTGACCTTCCTTGAGAATAGAGATCAGCAAGATCTAAAGAAATTCCTTGGTTTGCAATTGTTCCAAACTAGTGTTAGGTCTGAGAAAGAAAGAATTGTTCCAAACTAGTGTTAGGTCTGAGAAAGAACAAACAAGAATGTAAGTGGGGTAACAGGTATTGTATAATAACCAGGCCCCCTTTTTCCATTCTTTATCCTGCTGTTGTATAAGCCAGGATACTTAAAAGTGGAAAAACAATTGCTCTACATAGAAGTGGATTCTTACTGACAGACAGTGAATACATGCTGGATATTAACAGAGGTGTCCCCAAACCTTAGCTTTCCTCCCTGTCACATTTGAGCCACACATCAAATGCTGGCAGAAAGCCACAATTAAATGTACAATTGTCCTCCATTTACAAACACAGGCAAACACATAAGGAGAAGGATGTTATTATTATTTTTTTAAAAAAAAACAAATCACAAAGTCACGCTTGCGAAAGGCTGAAACTCAGTTCAGTTGCATGGGACAGCTGAGCTTTTGAATGACAGCCCTACAGTTTCATTTCTGTATCTGCCAGAGAGACAGAGAGAGAGAGAAGGAGAAGGAGAGAAAGAAGGAGAGGAGAGAAAGGAGAGAGAGAAGAGAGGAGAAAGAAAGAAGAAGAGAGAGAGGAGAGAGAGAGAGAGGGAGAGGGAGAAAGAGAGAGAAGGGGAGAAAGAAGGAGAGGAGAGAAAGAAAGGAGAGAGAAAAGAGAGGAGAAAGAAAGAGAGAAGAAGAGAGAGGAGAGAGAGAGAGAGAGAATTTCAATGGAAAATTTGGGAGAAGATGGAAAAACCTTAACCTGTAAAATAAATTGAATACTTCTTGGGTTTAATTGCCAAGATTAGCATGATATAAAATAGGCCACTAGAAGAAACGCACATTATTTATTAGCATTGTATGATTTCTGGTTAACTTTTCAGACTCTGGAATCATGCATAGAAAAGAGAGGGAAGTTACCTTATGGGTTTTCCATGATGGAAATCAGAATCTCATTCATAAGCCACATGCCCTACAAAACACAAACAGTTAAGGGGGACCCAGCCTTTTGCAGAGCCTCATTGCTCAGAATATCCATGCCTTTGCACAAACACATCTCTATGTCACGAGGAGCAGGGATAACTATAAACAGCAAGGGAATGTGATTCTTCCTGAATAGTTTTGACGATTACAAAGCCCCAATATTGAGGGATTTCTGTCCAGAAAGCTCACTGTTGAAAGAACTAAGTAATCTCCGCAACCGATATCCCCTTTTGCAAAATGACGCAGCTTCTCCCATTCTTGGGAACCATTCCATGGGAGAAGCAGGACCGATTTTTACCCAGTTTTCTTTGAGGAATCTTCCAGAATCTAATCCCAGAGAACACTGTGGCTGCATTTATTGCCGTTGACTCTCAAGAGCCCATCTGAAAGCATTTGAATTCTCCCTCTCTGATGGCAGATTGCAACTAAAGCACTGTTCCCTGGCCTGTGGCACTTCCAATTCCATTAACCTGGTCTAGCCCTGAGAAAGGCAAAATAATCTGGAGTTACAACAGCTCATTTTTTCTACAAACCAGCGGTCAGTAAGTCTTCATTTAATGCAGTGGTTCTCAACCTTTTTAATGCTGCGACCCCCAACCGGTCATAAGTCGAGGACTACTCAACCGGTCATAAGTCAAGGACTATTCAACTGGTGCAGCACCATTTGCAGAATGGGACTTTTGGCAGGCTCAGCAGGGCAGAGACAGCCTGGACAATTCCTATTGGCCTTTGAAAGCCAATAGAATTAGACTCTATTCAAGAGAGTCTATTCTATTGGCTTTCAAAAGCCAATAGAATAAAAGGGAGTAGCACAGCTAAGGAAAAGGGGGAAAAAATGGCAGACTGCGTTGTTTGGCGACCCCCCGTGAAATGGTCGTTCGACCCCAAATGGGGTCCCGACCCACAGGTTGAGAACCACTGATTTAATAAGTCCTTCAGTTGCGGTGCAACTAATACTGAATACCGGTGTCACACACTCTGATTGTGTTGGGGAGAAATAGCTAGGCCTCCTTGTTCGATGTTTTTTACTCTTCCTCTGAAGAGTGGGAAGAAAACATTCATTAAATCCAAAAATGTCCTTTAGATTTGGAGACCACCTCTTCATGGAAACATTCAGCCTGACCTGTTTTGTGATTTCTTCCACCAATTTAAGTTGCATCAAAGGCACCTGCTTGGAGACTGGTGGCCTTATATATATATTGAGTCAAACTCATTATATAAATATAGCACTCCCAAATTTGACCTGTTCAGTTGCTCAGTAGATAATCTCTTCTTCCTTTTGATCTGACCTTACCAGCCCAGAAGAAAGAATATTTGGTTCAGAAGTAGACAATTCTTTTCAGCATTTACCTTGTGGGGAAGAAGCCATTTAACTGTGTTGTCACAGTCCAGCTATAGTAAATAACTGCATTATCTAGAGCAGCACGGCTGAAATTCCATTATAGAGAAATGGGTGCTGGTGAATGCAGATGCAATCTCTGCTTTCCTAAGTAGTTTGAAACAGAGGAAAAACTCTTACGTTTGCATTTTTCTTCTTAAATGTGCAAATTTGGTTCCAATGTATAGGCCCAGTGCGAAGGCTGTGGGCTTTATGTTGTGAGATCTCTTAGTTTACTGAGGGTGAACTTTTATCATGTGCTTTTTCCATATGCATATTTGGATGTGCCCAGTAAGCATTTTGGTGGGAGCAATATATACAGAAAGTTCGTAGGATATATTTTTTTTTAACCAAATGAATGATCTTTAGTGCTATTGCTGTTGCCATTGTTTTTTCAAGGGGATGGAAATAGATAACAATTTTGCTGTCTGCAATTTTGCCTTACGGAGCATTTCAACCTGTATTTTATTTTGGCACACTTCAGTTAGCTCTTCCCGGAGAGAAAGTTAATTGCAGTTTGAAAACCCTTGCCAGGAAATGATATATTTATTTGAGCCCCCCCCCAAAAGGTTTCCATCAGGTATCCTTAAAATTATAAATAAAACACACAGTCTGGTTAATAATAGCTGTGGCTGATCTTGGTCTGGATGCCATTCATCTGATACTAGTTTGCTGAGTCACCCACTTGAGAGGAGTTTGAAATGGCTAAAATAATCTTAGATTTGAATCCAGTTAGATGTTGGGAGGTGACCCAAAGGTTGTCTGAAATGGTTGAGAGTGTGAATCCTTGCAACATTTCAGCCTTCCAGCAACTTCAGATAACCTTCAGGCGACCCTTGAGAATATTCATCAACATGTTGCAAAGTGACTTCAGTTGTGAAAAGTTTTCGCCTCTAAAACGATTTCAAATTCATCCTGGTTTATA